TCAAACCTATCCAGCTCATTTTTGCGCAATGCGAGCCCAAAACACAGATCGCTGTCACCTTTCCGTGTTGCGCAGTGTTAAACGGACGAGAGCGGATGTCGGTCGGCCTGTTGCCGCTGAAGGTGCCCACATGTGCCCACGTGTGTTCAGCATTTGCCTCGTGTGACCGACCCAAACATTTTCGTTAGGCTATGGCCCTCGCCTCCTTTTCTGTGTAGCCGTTGCTATGAGAATCCTCTGCAACCCTGACTGAACTTGCAAATGAATTTGCATGGAGATTCCCACGCGGCGTTCTCCAAAGAGAGTCGACAGTCAGATGTAAGAGAAATCTTGTCATTTGCAGAATCCCATGTAGTCATCTTCTATATAGATTTCACAGGAATCCTGCCATGTTACATAGAGATTTTTGAGAACTCCGGTCACTGGTATATAACTGTATATGAATGTAATAGTATTTTGCTATTTTACATGGAGATTCCCATGGTAGGTCTTTTTCCATTGAAGGTCCCATGCGGTTCTTCTTAGATGGAGATTCCGAATGCATGGAACGAAACGGAAGGATCGGACGTCAGGTGCGGAAACCCTTATCTGGCTGTGCAGGTCCAGTCGTAGGCTACAATCAGCCGCATTCTGGAATGTGTTGACAAGAAAAAGCACTTCCCCCTCAAGCATGCGGCTTTGAACATGCAATTTATGTGTTACTGAACGACGTGCACATGTGGCGCGCGCGCCCTGTTGAATCAGGGTGCGGCTGCCGCGTGCCCTTGCTGACATGTTACTTCACACGACCGGACGTAACCACACGCCCCCGTCACCTAGTACCTAGTAGTTAGGCTGCCTCCCAAACCCGCAACAATCATTTTCGAGACTTTGCTTTGCATGTGTCGTACTCTAGCCTTCTTGTGACCGTTTCTGTACTCAATGACGGTGCGGACGAGGCAGAGACTACTCAATTGGGATGTTGTTGAAACATTTGAGACATGACAAGCAGCACAGCCTTTTGTATGCCCCTTAGATTTCCTCTATGAAACGGGGGATGGGGGGGTACATGCCTTTGAACAGCAAAATCTATACCCCCCCCCCCCCCCCCCCCGCACCCCCCTTCCGCCTCTCCGAAAAAACACGTTTGTTGTCCTTCAAAAACACAGACCTGCGTTCCGACGCGCTCTGCAGAAATACAGGCACGAGGCCTGGGGAACTTCAGCGATGTGAGGGTTTAGGATGGCTTAGCATTCAGATGGTTTTAAGATGTCTTCGGGTTTAGGGATCTCCCAGGTTAGTCCCGAGCCCCAGGTAGACCCTAGGCCCCGCCTAAAGATTCTCAGACTACTTTTAAGGGCAGGCTTGATGAACTCAGAAAGAAATGCAAGACACAGAAAGCAAAATTCAAAGATCATTTGTGCCTGTGGTGCCACTCCAGATTTGGAGCACATATCCTGGCGCTACACCTTGTTTCAAACGCAAAGGGCGCCTGCCCTCGAGAACTTGCCTCACCCGCTTGAATCCTTGCCTACTTGTTTCCGCAATTGTGCCATTGTTCCTGCACGCATGCGCATGAGCACGTCTGCGCTGCACGTCGTCCAATCTTCCCTGGTGGACGTGTGGCAGGCACATATGAGCAACCGTCAATACTC